TGTGCAGCATCACTGAGAGTTAAAAACTGTCTAAATTCTTTCATCTTTAATAAAATGATCAGCGTTGCTGCTTTACCAGGTGTAACAATTAAGTTTAACATCCAGGCATCAATGAAAACAGAATTTATGAATTTTTTTTTTTTTTTTTTTTTTTCTTTTATTCTTTTTCCTTCCTTTTATTGGGGACTTCATTCAAAAAAAATAACGTGTTAAACATTACTTGTTACTTTTCTTAAAACCAAAGCATTATTTTAGGTATCCCAGTACAATTTAAGATTTTTACTGGTGTATTTTCTTTATCTCTGTCTCACGTTCTCTTTCTCCTGCCTTTTCTTCTTCTATTTTATCCACCATTCCTCTTTCCTTCCTCATCTCTACCCCATCCTCTTTTTTTCTCTTCTGTCCCATCTTCTGAATCCAAGTAAAGGCTATAAAACAAGAATATGAATTTATTTATTACAGATCGTGTCACAGCTGGTTATAAGCTAATGTTATACCAGATAACAATAGGCTTGAGTGTCCTAGAAATCATCCTTTCCTTCTGATAAACAGTTTGAATGCATTTGCATATCATATGGGGATTTGAGTCTGAAAACAGTAACACCAGCTAACAGCAGCTAACACAGACAAAAACAGTCCCTACATAGAGAAAAGTTCAAGATGTGTTCAGTAACTCAACTCAAACTCACTGCCACCGGATAGAAGTGAGCTTCACTCACTCATCGGATATGAAACTCCTTTCACAAAACTTAATAGCCTCCTCCACAGTAAATAGATGTAGATGCCTGGCATATTGACAGCTCAGATAACGAATAACACCAGCCAGACTGACTCGGGGGTAAAAATGTAAAATATTGCAAAACGTTTAACTGACACATTTCCGATTGTTATTCCTGATTTGTTGTTATGTGTTGATATTACTCAAACACTTTAAAATATAGTGTTTACATTTGCAGCCATTATAGAGAAATGCGAAGCGATGAATTACCGACTGGAGGATGTAATTTGCTTATACTACTCATTACATTACTTTTACATTCCTCTGTAACATGATCATTGTCACATAAAATCAAAAATATAACTTAGAAGTTAGCAGGAAGTTAGCTCGCTAGCTTCCACCTAAACATGATATAGCATGTTCTGACTGAGAGATTTCTGAAAATTCAAACGTACAGCTCTGCTATCACTTCCAACATAAATGAAGACAGAAAACTAAACAGCAGTGACGTTTGTAGGGTTACTGAAGTTTGGCTAGCTGGTATATAATGATGTGCTACATGATTGCTAGCAACACAGCTATGTTAGCATAACATAACGTTAACTTTTATCGAGTGGAAAAAAGTTAACGTGAGGGTTCCCGATGGTTAGGGACAAATGCAATCACATGGCAAGATGCTGTGAAACAGCGGTCCCCAGCCTTTTCTGTGCCACTGACGGTTTAATGTCCGACACTATTTTCATGGACCGGCCTTTAAGGTGTGGCGGGTAAATACAACAAAATAAAATGAAACGACAAAGACACAAACTGTGGTATTTTGTAAGAATAACAATAAACGTGAATTCACTGTGTAATTGTTTAACTTTATTAGCTGTGCCCTCCTGAAATGTGCCAACAACCTTGAGAGTAACATCCACCTCTCTTTATGCTCTCTGGTTGCTATGGTAACATGTACATATTTCTTTCAAAATAAGACACACGACTACAACACGGGAAAAGACCCAGGGAAACCAAATTAACGATAGCAACCCTGAAAACCATAAATTTCACACCCGAGCCTCAACTCTCGCGCCCCAGTACCAAACGGGGCCTGGGGGTTGGGGACCACTGCTGTAAACGGACCAAACTTCAGGCAGGAGAACAACTGAGATAATCCATCCACAATGTGAGGTTAATATACTGCTGCATGTGCTGGGCTGTAGTTACATCGGATATATGATATTCCTATATCACCTGTTGGATTCAATTCAATCCAATTCAATTCAATTTTATTTATATAGCGCCAAATCACAACATAAGTCGCCTCAAGGCGCTTCATAGATACAGAGAAAAACCCAACAATCATATGACCCCCTATGAGCAAGCACTTTGGCAGACAGTGGGAAGGAAAAACTCCCTTTTAACAGGAAGAAACCTCCGCAGAACCAGGCTCAGGGAGGGGCGGGGCCATCTGCTGTGATTGGTTGGGGTGAGAGAAGGAAGACAGGATAAAAGACATGCTGTGGAAGAGAGACAGAGGTTAATAACAGATATGATTCAATGCAGAGAGGTCTGTTAACACATAGTGAGTGAAGAGGAAAGAAAACTCACATGCATCATGGGAATCCCCGGCAGCCTACGTCTATTGCAGCATAACTAAGGGAGGATTCAGGGTCACCTGGTCCAGCCCTAACTATATGCTTTAGCAAAAAGGAAAGTTTGAAGCCTAATCTTGAAAGTAGAGATAGTGTCTGTCTCCTGAATCCAAACTGGAAGCTGGTTCCACAGAAGAGGGGCCTGAAAACTGAAGGCTCTGCCTCCCATTCTACTTTTAAATACTCTAGGAACAACAAGTAGGCCTGCAGAGCGAGAGCGAAGTGCTCTAATAGGGTGATATGGTACTACAAGGTCATTAAGATAAGATGGGGCCTGATTATTTAAGACCTTGTATGTGAGGATGAAATTCTGGATTTAACAGGAAGCCAAAACAGGAGAAATCTGCTCTCTCTTTCTAGTCCCTGTCAGGACTCTTGCTGCAGCATTTTGGATTAGTTGAAGGCTTTTCAGCGAGTTTTTAGGACTTCCTGATAATAATGAATTACAGTCGTCCAGCCTGGAAGTAATAAATGCATGAACTAGTTTTTAGGGGTTTATTGAGATTAAATAGAACAAGATACAAAACATGTTAAAAACACAACAGCCTTAGTAAACACAGACTAGTTCGGACCTGGAGGCAGGATTCATACGTCATCACTTATAGACCAGGTTGTGTTGACAGTCAGAGGGTTCATATTTTACCTGTTGGTAATGCACCTGCAGGTCTCAGCCAATTACAGCCAGCACAGGTTCAGGTGTCAGTCTGATCTGGTCTCTGATTCGTTCTCAGGGATCTTCTGCACCATCTCCCTGTGCACATATGCAGCCAGCGTGACCTACGACCTCTCCAGAAACCCGCCCTTCATCTACGGCCTGCCGGCTGACGTGGATCACGGTTATGGCTGGTCCATCTGCTGCGCCTGGGCCAGTCTGGGTCTCACTGTAGCGTCTGGCTGCCTCGGCACCACCTTCCCCTTCCTGAGCCGGGCCGGAGCACTGCGGTCCAAAACCGCCCACGAGTCCTCCGTCTGAGGCGAGGAAGAGGATGATTCTCGGACGACAAAAGGTGTATTTTTGGCCGGTTCCGTAATAGGAGGGGCCTCGGACTGCAGACGGAGCTGCGCACCTGTTCGTGCTCCTGATTTGGACCCAGCTCAGGTCACCTCAGCGTGCACTCTGAGCCTCGCCTGGTTCCTGTGATCCATCTCTGCAGTGGTGTGGCCAAAGGTACCATCAGTGATCAAGTTAATAAAAGATAAATTAGCTGTTGGTCAATCAGGTGAGTCATCTGTACTTACCTGACATCAAACATGTAAAGCCCAGTTGAGAGTCAGACAGGTGGCCAGGTCTCAGCAGCTGTCTGTCAGTCAGCTCTGACTCACCGTTTTCTTTCTGCTGTCCCATCGTCCAATCAGAAGCTTCATCGGTGTGAAAGTCACCTGAACTGAGGCAGGTCACAAAGCTGCTGCAGCTGGGTCCCCATCAGGAGCATAACAGGAAACACACACACACACACACACACACACACACACACACACACACACACACACAGGTGTGCGCTGGGATCCAAACCTGCTGCAGGTGTGATCTTCATGGAGCCTTCCCATGCGGATGTTTCGGAGCGCTGTGCTCCGATCAGTCAGTTGGGCGGAGCTTCAGGTGCACGCGAGCGCTCTGAGCTCAGGTGAGTGTTATCCAGTCATGCGGGGTTCACACGTTGCTTAGGCATTTGATGTTCGGGTGTGGCCTTCTTAGTGATGACAGCCAATTACAGACAAGCAAAGCTGATTGTTCTTGTTCGGCTTGGATCCACAAGCCAGTTCAAAACGTGATAGGTGTGAATCCCGCCTGATGGATCAGAGTCTGAGCTGCAGAGCGTCACGTGACCAGGTGGCGTGCTGCAGGTTTGGATGGCGGCGGCCGCTCACAGATGTGTATATAAATGTGCTTTCAGCTGCGAGCTGAGCCACAGACTGAACCCTTTACTCTGCGACGCTGAGCAGGTGCTGCTCACTGACTTCAGGCTTCCCGCAGGAGGGAACGCACTAACAGATGATCCAGGTATCAGTGCTGCCGCTCTGTTATCAAACAAAGGAGTTGACCTTTAACCTCTGACACCGACTCCTCTGTAAACAGGGTATGACACCATTTATGTTTAAGCTTTTTCAGGTATCAGCCTCTGAGACTCTGCATCAGCCTATCGGAAGCCCCGATGCCTTCTCGTGACCCCCCTGTACGAGCAGAATCGGACGTTTGAAGTTCAGGCTCTGAGCTTTCAAAAACATCTGGAATTACAAACATTCATCCACCAGCTGCAGACACCAAACTGAGAATGTCCACAGCATCCTTCCCATCATCAGGAGGAGGAGCGTGAGGAGGAGTATCAGGGGGACGGACCCATCGAGGTCTTTAGGCTCCTGAGGGAGAATGACGGTGGATGAAATGTTTGTGTGCGGCTCAAAGTCAGAACTTTATTTAATTTCAAGCCGACACGCAGAGTGAAACGGTGACTCACCATCACTATCGACCTTTAACCTGTAGATTCCACACTGAAAGCTCCCATGTTCCTCCTGATACCCCATCATAGCTCCACTGTCCCCTCATGGAACCTTTGCTGCCCCCTGCTGGACACAGCTGTAAATACATGGTGTAAACATGATGGGACTCGTCACCTGTAGCTGCTCCTGTGGAAGATCTGTCAGCATTTGTTGGATGTATTTATATCTGAGAATTAAATATTTGTTAAATGTGTGTGAGGCGTGTTATTGTGGTTCTGATAACATCACATAATGAAGAGGCGCAGGCTTCACTGAGCACATCAGGGCAGCACAACTCACGTGGACTGGATCCAGTTACCAGGTGAGTTAGAAGGTACCCGGTGGAGACAGTCACATGTGCTGCTGCTCAGAAAAGTCTGTCATTCACCTGTAACATGAACCGTGTGACCCGGGTAGTTGGAAGAGCTGATGTTCTCACGTGTGCAGGTTTCGTATTTTCTAAAAGGTACCTGACCCAGCCTGGCCCTGAGCGAATCTAAATGTTTGTCACTGAAGAACATTTCAATAAAGTTTCTTCCAGCACCATCAGATGCTATGAAGCAGTTCAGCACAACTCGGAGGGAAACGGTGACTTGTGACCATGAAGAAGAACCACTGAAACCCAGAAACAGGAGCTCAAACCATGAGGGAGACGTATGTCTGTGAAGGTTCTCAGTCATCCAGGTCATTGCAGTCGAAGGACGAAAAAACCTGACTAACAATGTGGTGTATGCTGTACAGTGCAGCGAGGAATGCCCAGACCTCTACATCGGAGAGACCAAACAGCCACTTCACAAGCGCATGGCACAACACAGAAGAGCCACCTCCACAGGACAAGACTCAGCAGTCCATCTGCATCTTAAGGTCAAAGGTCACTCTTTCGAGGATGCCAATGTTCACATTTTGGACAGAGAGGACAGATGGTTTGAAAGAGGAGTGAAAGAAGCATCTATGTCCACTGTGAGCGACCATCTTTGAACAGAGGCGGGGTTTACGACACCAACTCTCTGCCATCTATAATCCAGTTTTGAGATCCTCCCCAGACGCCTTAACGCCCACTCACATCCTGGGCCATCTGACCTCAGGAATTCACATGATAAGGTGGGGCCAGGTTTCACAATGAGCTCACCCGAAACTCTGGCTGATTGGGACCCACACCCAGTTTCACACCTTGGCTCAGGCGATTAGAGGATCATCAGGGGTCCTTTTGTCCCTCTGTGGGGGGAAACTCCCACTAGGTTTATATCTGGGACTCTCCACCATTTGACCTTAGAACTGAAGAAGCTTCTCGGATGAGAGGTGAAACGTCTTCAAGCAACTTAAAGAAGTCCAGACGCTTTTCTTTCCAAGCTCCGTCGACCATGAAGGTGACAAAACTAAAGAATCAGGAAACTGGAGAGAGGTCTGAGAGCTCTGAGTCTGCCCAGAACGCTTATAAGAACAAGGTGCGCCATCACAGAGATGTTAAATTGTTTAAATATGCAGGGACTCGGCTGCTTATTATCACAATGACAAAGAGACTGTGCTTAGAGTGATCATCTTCAGTTTATGTTGAAAACTTTTTATTTTTTCAAACACATAAATCATTAAAAGTTCCCTAAAATCTTCAGCAGCCTCTTAGGAAACATGAGAGCCTTTATTTCCACTCAGCTCTTTGGGGGTCAGCACAGTCCCTGTTCCGTCCTCTTCTGGCTTCACTGGGGTGGCTGTGGCTCAGGTGATAGAGCAGGTCACCTGCTAATCTGGAAGGTGGGTGGGTATCAGATGTCAGGTATCCTTGGACGAGATACTGACCTGAAGTCACTCTCAAATGAATGTGTGCGAATGTCAGATAGAAAGAGCACAGAAAAAAGTGCTTGTGTGAAGAATGAGGCAAGCTGTGTGAAGTGCTTTGAGTGCTCAGACTAGAAAAGCACCATATAAGAACCAGTCCATTTACTGTTCCAGTGAGAGCAGCCTTAAGCTCAAAGCTATTTTAAAAACCCACTACTCCTTTACAGCTGCCTGTGGACGCCAAAGGGTTAAAATATCCCCATTTATTGTCTAAATCCAGCCATCCAGTCAGATCATGGTAGCAGTAGGTTAAACAGCTATTCCAGAAACCAAGGTGTTGCCGGGTTAGATAATATCAATCAGGTTATGGGTGCAGCTCAGTGCTGCCGGTGAAACAGAGAGCTCTTTGGATCTGTGGAAAATATTAGTGTGTATCAGGAAGTCAGAACAGTCATTGCTGTAAATGATCCTGAGGTCCTGATTCATCTTCCAGTTGGTCGACATTTCTGTTTCCACAGGGCTGATGGTTGTGTGAGTCTTTGTCCAGCAGGGGCTAGCTCGTTTTATGTCTGATACACACATATCTAAAAATTATTTTTAAGATTAGATAACCTAGATTAGTCCCACATGTGGGAAATGTGTTTGTTACAGCAGTGGACAGTGCAAAGTTGCATAGAAAAATTAGAAAAAAAACACTGGAATAATATATCTATGAGATACTGTACACAATAGAATAAAATAAAAATAAAATACTATATACACAATCGAATAAAATAGAATACAAATGCTATATACAACTGAGTATAATACAATGATGCCAAAAAGAGTATTGCACATAGTGTTATTGCACGTGTGGATGTGTTTGATCAAGTCTTTGTTGTGGAGTCTGACAGCAGTGGGGAGGAAAGACCTGTGGGACCGAGAGATTTTCTTTTGTACATTAAGATTTTGTGTACTTTTTGATATTTTGGTGTTATTTTTTGTTTTGTATTTATTTATTCTTTGATAAATTTTGAATATTTTTGTTTCATATTTCATTTTTTTTGTTGAATTTGGAATCTTGTTAGTTATTTTTAGTCCTCACTTGTCGACATGGCTGCCAACGTCACTGTGACACGCGCAGTGAAGCACGCTCTCCTGCGCAGGAGCCCCGCCCATATACGTCAGGACTCGCCCTGTACGCATGTGCAGCCGATACTCTACGGTTCCCCAGACTCTGGTGACAACAACCGCCCTCAGTTAGCTCACGGACTGTCCGCCTGTCAGGGGCCCGGGGCGGCGTAGGAGAGAGTCCCGGGGGATTTGAGAGATCGTTTGACTTTGGGCCCGGAAACGGCTCAAAGAGCAGAGAGGGAGCCTTCCTCAGTGTCAGTGCCTCAGTATTAGAAACAGGAGATACCGTGAGAAACATCCCTGTTAAGGTGAGTCTGTTCACTTTCGGGTAAAGGTAAGCCGTTATTCAGTGTTATTTATTTCAGTGTTTCACTTGTTTCTGAGCTTGTTTTATTCAACTTTAATGTCTCACTGGAGAGCTGTCACCACATCTGCAAATGAATCTTTCACTAACTTTATTCCCTGATGTAGAAACGTGCTGTCCTTCTTTTAACAGCTTACTCCGAATTAAAACAACGCCACCCCTCACCAACTATCTTGGCGTCACTGGTACCGCACTCTCCCGGTCTCCAACAGAACACAGTTCATTACCGTGGCAGACTCCGGCTCCACCTCAGCTCCAGGTAACCACGGTGTGCCCCAGGGTCCTGTGCTCGGACCCCTTTACTGCACCACCTATTCGCCCCTCCTTGGTCAGATCATCTGCCTCCAGGTCTCTGCTTGCTTTTCTATTCTGATGATACAAACCCTCCACCCTGCTCCCCACACAGTCACTTGTCAATTAGAACATGGACGTAGACCAGCGTTTTGTGGGAGAAACGTTTCATCATCATCCTGGTGACTTCTTCAGTCTCAGCTGACTGCAGGTTTCCCCAAGCTTACATTTGCATAATGACTGAAACCAGCCACTGAAGGAACAATGGGCTGGGAGGTCAGTTCCTTAATCTTAATTATGCAAATTCTCATGACCATTGATCAACAACCACTGATCAACCTGATCAAACCTTCAGGTAAGAAGTTATGACCTGCAGTCAATCTGGGTCAGATATAAACCAAGTTTAGTTTATTTTAGTTATGCTGACTTTTTACAGTCAGTTACAATAACTCGTACTGCGTGCTAGCTAGCATGACGGAGTGTTTATACAGCTGGGTGGGAGCTTTGATGTTACTGATAGTGAACTTTATTTTATTCATAATGTTAGTTATTAGAGTTTCCAACCGTCCCGTACAAACGGAATCGTCTCGCATTCAGAGAAAATATTACGCGTTTGGTATTGAGCTGAAAAGAAACACAGTTTGTGCCGGACTTCAGCTACAATGAAAAAGACACAAAGCTGGAGTTATTCTGTGTTTGCTGCACAGCTGCCTCTTCTTTTCTCACTCTCATTCTCTCCCCCTCTCCTGTTGCTACTTCAATCATGAAACTGATCAATGATCAGCTGATCGTTTCTCTCTTGTTTGTTTATCGCCCACTTTGCGCCAGAAAGAGGAAACCAGCGGATGTCGCGCTAAACAACAGCAGCACGTTTAAGCTTGATCAGCTGTTGTTAGAATTTATTTAATATTAATTTCTAGTATCAGCTGATGTTTGCTGGAGCCACAGCTGTAAAGCTGCTGGTCATGATGTCGGTTTGGATATGTGGTGAGAGGGAAACATGAAGATGAAACCAGGAGATGTCCTTACTGAATCATCAGAGCTGAACAGGTGATGGAGAAACAGGTTTACCTTTTAGGTGACATGAATGAGTTTAAGGGAAGTTATGAACTGTTTCTGAGACACAAAGAAATACTTTTCTTTCTTATTCTCATTTAAAATGTCTCACTTTTAATAAATAATTATCTGAATCTTACAACCAAAGTTTTTATCTGATGTAAAATGTATAGAAATCATACATATACCAACAAGACTGTACATCACTGTCACAACAGAGAGAGAGAGAGAGCGAGTTTTGAGATGTGAGAGATTTGTGACGTTTAGCGTGTTTGGAGTGTGTAGTTAATGTGTTGTCTTGTGTAGTTAGTGTGTAGTGTTGTGGATAGTTTTGTGTTGTGTGTCAGAACAATGAGGCGACTGCTGTCTCCAGGTAGAAACAGGAGTGACACACCTGCTGCTGTCAGACCTGCAGGTATCAGGCTGTGATGTTCTCCTTTATAGTGGACAGAAATTATTGGAGTGGCACAAATAATTTGTGTGGCATCTTATGAAGAACAGCTGATTGTTCTGTAAATAGTTTGAAATGGTTATTTAAAAATCAAGGTAAAAGGTAAATGGCTGCAAATAACTTTGTTGTTTGCAAAACTTGTGCATATGATTTTAAAATTGACAATTTATATTTGCATTTAAAGTTATGAAATATGATTCATTAAACATGTTTGTGGTTGTTACAGTAAAAATAATTTTTTCTACTCAGATTTTATGTTTTTGTCTGATTTTAGAATCAAAGTGGTTAAAATGGCCGATTACACCCTGGACCCCAGAGGGTTAAATATTTTTTTAAAGTAACGGAATAGTTACTTTTCAAGTAATTAATTACTTTTAGAATCTACTAACTCAGTATTTTTAAAGCTATAACTATAAGCAGTGTTGGTCAGTTACTTGAAAAAAGTAATCAATAACTAATTACTGATTACTTCCCCAAAAAAGTAATCCCGTTACTTTACTGATTACTTATTTTCAAAAGTAATTAATTACTTAGTTACTTTTTAAAAACACGATTTACAACCTGAAGAGGTGATAAAGCGATAGATCTTTCAGCCCAATTCTACTTTTTCTGCATAATCCATCATACAAAATGTAATCAAATGGAAAAGTCTCTTTTTAACTTGTTTTATTAGTTTTAATCTTTTAACTTTATGCATCAAGCAAAAATTTAATTATATGCAACATTCTCTGACTTGAATAAATTAGTTTAACATTTAAACCTATTTTCTACACATTCCAGCACATAAAATAAAATATTTTTTGTGTTTACACTCACTCTTTCAAATAGATGCAAGTAAAACACAGCAGGAAATAAATAAAGTCAAAGACTCAGCGGTCCTGTTGCTCTATTTTCACCTGTAAAGCAGGACTGCGGTAGGCGGAGGTTTACCCTGGTGCAGGTTTAGT